CCCCAAAACCCCAAAACCCCAAAACCCCAAAACCCCAAAACCCCTTAAAGTTATAAAATTATTGTTAAATATAATATTATATTATGCCTACCCAGCAAGAAATTGAGTATTATAGGAACAAGCATCAGCGGATGAATAAGGAAAGATTCTTCGCTGCTAATATTCTGGCATTAGTCACTCATGCTGTCACACAACCACTCGATTTAATTAAGGTCAGATCTCAGATGCTTCAAGAAGGAAGGACATTCTATGGGCTCGGAACTCAAAGAGGTAGCAACCCATTTGCCATTTTCAGAGAAATTAATAAATCTGGAGGTTCTTACAAGACTTGGTTCACTTCATACGAAGGGTTCTTTGCTAGAACTTTTGCATACACGACAGCAAGAATTTCATGCTATCTTTGGTTCTTTGATAGACTCAATAAAGACCCAAGGAGGTATGCCAGGCCAGATAGACAAGCGATGGCTGGAATTGCTGGAGGTCTAGTTGCAGGTATTCTAACTAACCCAATTGAGATTGTCTACGCAAGAATGCAAGTAGATGATCTCTATCCAAAGGGATACAAGAGAGGCTATAAAACTTTCTATGAAGGCTTTATGAAAACAGCCCAAGAAGGTGCATTATTCAGAGGTGCCTTAGCAAACGGACTTAGAATTGCAGGATTAATTACTGGAGCTTATGCTTTGCATGATTGGGTAAAGGAAAATTTCTACTACTTCTTAGGACCCATTATGCTCAACAGGATCCTTGCTACTCTTGTCGCTAGTGGAGTTGCCACTGTTGCAAGTATGCCATTCGACACCCTCAGAATGAGATTGTACACACAGAGGCCACTTCCAAATGGAAAATGGCCATATGGAGGTCTTACTGACTGACTAACAAAGATTATGCAATATGAAGGAAATATCAAGAACCATGGTAACTTGCAGGCGTTGTACGCAGGATACCTGTCATATTTCGGAAGGTTCTTTGTAATAGCTTTGGTTTCCCAATACCTATTAGACTTTTACGAAGCTGGATCATTCACTCCTGAACTGTGGGTGCCAGGATCATACATGCGCACTCCTAATATTGCTTTCAACCCATATGATCCTTACACTCTGACAGGATATAAAGCATATGTGAACAATAAAACTATGGATGCAGCTGAGGATGCCGAGGCATCTCTTCCTCATGATGTGAAACTCAAGTATGTCTAAGCAGGAATATAAGCAAGCTCTTGGTGGTTTATTCTCTAAATCATTCTTTTGAATTGAGGGGTTTTACATTTTATAGAGCTTTGGAATAATCTCTGTGGCTACCTTGGGCTAATAATTTCTGGCTCAAGACAAGTTTAGAGTTAGGTTAGGTGGGAAATGGACTGAAGACGGTAGAGGGATTATCTTGGGGTGTCTCAATGGGGATTTAGGCTTTTGATTTTTGTGATAGCCCTAGATTTTATTTGAAGTGTAAATATTATAATTCAATAAATGTAAAATACAACGGGGTTTTGGGGTTTTGGGGTTTTGGGGTTTTGGGGTTTTGGGG